CATGAGGACAAGCCGGAACACTGAGATTTCTAATCCATCTAAACTAGCATCCTAATGCCAGCACCAAGCGTCATATGCATGGAGACGAGTCTTTAGAGATGCCAGTGGCATCCCGTCTCTGAACATGGGACATTCCTTCAAAATGGCTTCCTATCTTGGACCCCAGACCATTACTTTGTTCCCCAAATACCAAGGGGACTTGAGCCCACCTGCATGATTAGAGAAAGGAAAAAATATTGACAAATGCTTGCTCGAAGCAGAGGGGAAAATGGAATAGCAACCAAGAACAATTGAAACAAGCCAGCCATAATTTAGAGAAAGGCACCTCCATGTATGTATTTTTTTTTCTGAAGAAAGGATGGATTTCAGGAATCGGATGGTTTAGAAACCTTTCAGCAGGAAGGGTTGCCTTCTTTTTATAATTATGGTCACAGCTCGCTCCCCCAGAAGTCTCCAGCACTCCTCTGCAATTCCTCCTGTGCATTTTTAAGGATTACTGTCGGTTCAATTACCTTAATTGCATGGCTGGGCTCAATGTAACACGATCTGTACAGAGATGGCTGGTTACATCCTAATTGCCAGAGACTGTTTCCCCTCTGATACATGGATTCGTCTTTCCTTTTTCTCATTAGCCAGAAAATGCAACAGATTTTCTTGTCCAGAGAAGGAAGAGATGTGCTCTACAACAAGTTGTAAGTATACACCCAGTTCTTAAAGAGCCAGCAGGCAAAGCAACCCCAAATCTAACAGGAGACAAAAGAAACCCCCTGCTGTCTTCTTGGAGGTGAACTGGATCAGTTCTGCTTCATGAGCTGAGCTAATTTGTTTTCACATCCCAAACCCAACATGTTCAGGTCTTTTCTTTTTTTTCAACACAACACCCTAGTTCAGTCATTGTGTTGGCTGCATCCCAAATACAGGAGTCAAACTGATTTGCCATGCAAAATATTCAACTACTGAATAAATGTCACAGAAAACCAATGTAAACACATTACTCTTGAAATCCAAAGTATTTGTATGGTTGCTGAAGCTCACAGCTTTCAAGGACAGAGCAGAACAAAAGAAAACAGGGGAAAATATATTCAGAAACCCTTAAGCAGCAGCAATTTGACCCAACATTGTTGAAGGATCAGGGAATCGGCTATGAAATGCCCACTTCAGAAAGCAAAGGACTTTCCAAACACATCACAACAGAGACAAGACGGATCAATTAATTGGTGGCCACACTATCCCAACATCTCTTACTCCAATGAATGCACATCTATTGGGGAGTTTTTCCCCCTCCTGTAAAAGACCCACGGTGAAGCTTTAGATCAACATGCTCCCGCATCTCAACACCTGATTAGGTTCTTGGGCGGTAAGACACAAAACCACTGACACTCCTTGGAACAACGGAGAACAAAAATGAAGCAAAGCCGTCACTCTGGGAAACCTCAACTGGTCTTACAATCGGACTTCAACTCTCCTTAGCTTTGCAGGCCGGCAAACGTTGTAAATGCAAGGACGGTGGTAATGTAATCCCCCCCCCCCCATCATCGCTGTGAAGGATTGCTAAATGAAGCAGTCGCTAAAAGAGGACTACCTATGTTCTGTTTCTCCAGAAAACAAACTCTTTTGGACTGGGGGAGTCAAGAAGCCATTTTACACAGATCAACCTCATGATTCTCCTCCCCCCCCCATTTGCATTCTTGGATCAAAAGATGGCGAGAAATAAATGAAGATTCCATGTTTAGTGAAGCCAGCCTAGAAAGTCAGGCGGCCATTTCTGGGCTTATCAACTTAAAGCTCCATTTCCCCCCCTATGGTTGCCAGAGATTTTTTAGGAGGAGGATTGGGGTGAAGTACGAAGAGAAGCTGCACTTCCAGCTAAAATTGGCTGTACCAAGTAACAAGGTGATAGAGTGGTGACAAAGTCACTCATCAAAGAGCTGGGATGAAAATTCCTCCTCGGTGAATATTCTACTCTAGCTTTCCTTTCTGCAAAGTAAGGCTATGGCCAGTATTACAAGGCCCCTGCAGCCCCCTTTCTGGGGATTGGGCCTGTATTATGGCTGTTATTTGGCTGAAGAGGAACCGATTTCCAGCCTGTTTCCTTCCTTTCCAGATGGAATTGTGGGCTTGCTTCAATCTTTTCAGCCCAGGCATTTTACTTCCCTTCTCACCAGGATCGGTGGGCAGCAGTCTGTTGCTGGATAATCAAGGGCATTTAGGAGGACCCCTTTTGCTAAAACAGTATTTGCTATTTTCATGCCTGTGACAGCCTGTACTGGATGCTTCCATGCAAAAACTTCCATTTATTTATATCCTGCCTTTTTATTTTTATTTTACAAATAACTCAAGGTGGCAAATATACCCAACACACCTTCCTCCGCCTATTTTCCCCACAACAACCCTGTGACGTGGGTTGGGCTGAGAGGGAGGGACTGGCCAAAAGCTACCCAAGCAAGCTTTCATGCCTAAGGCAGGATTAGAACTCACCACCACCTGCTGGTGATTGGCTCAAAGTCACCCAGATGGATTTCATGGCTAAGATGGGACTAGAACTCCCAGCCTCCTGCTTTCCAGCCTGGTGCTTAACCACCAGGCCAAACTGATTCGTTACGGACCCTTCATATTTGCATTGGTCCAAGCCCTTTGCTCCTTCCTTGTCCTTGTATAAAATATCAGAATAAAAACTGATTTGCATGGATATACAACCCGCATTGTTCACCACTGAGCTTCCAAAGTCGGGGGAAGAACTGAATGCGCAGCAGGAAAGGTATATTTAAAAAAAGAGGGACTTCTGGTTTGAAGGGCTTCGGCGACAGACAGAAATCTGCGATTGTGCGCGGTTTCTGTCTGGGCTCGCCACTGGAGCGCCCCGAGCCGGCTGGTTTTGGGGCTAAGCCACCCCATAGAGGCGGTGAAGAGGGGGGAGACCGCCAGCAGGGTTGAGGAGAGCCGCATCTCTCCTCCTCAGCTGGCCATTACTCCCTTTCCCAAAGGCGGTTGCAGCGGTGGTCAGAAATGGCCACCACAAAGGAGAACTCGACCGGAAAAGAATGTGCAGGAGGAAGATAAGAAGTGAAAGTTTTGGCTGACCGGGTTAAATTGTAAAAGCAACAACTAAGGTACCCTGGAATTTAAACTTACAAAAAATAACATCGCTCCCAAAGAAGAGTCGGAAGCAGCGAAGGAAAGTGAAAAGGGAAAGGTTTGGCTTTTTTTTTCTCCTTCTCTCTCCTTCCCTATACTGACAACTAAGAGACTTAAATAAGAAATCGGAAAAATCTGCTTTGACATCAATAGGCAATTAAGCTGAAAATAAACAAAATGCCAAAGGGATAATAAAAGATTTCTGGACATTAAAAATTTTCTTTTTCATAAGCAGGAAGGGGGAGAAAAAGAATAAGGGCAGGATCTGGAAGAGGGAGGAGACTGCCTGGAATTAAAAAGAATCTACAGTAAAACTTCAACAAGACTTCTAAAAGATACATTTTAACTGAAACTTTGCAACTAAATAGTAACCCCAGGAAGAGAAAGTGAAAAAAAGAGCAAAAAAGAAATAGCTTGCGTATATTTGGATTATTTGGGGATCTTTGGATTCTTGGTTATTATATTTGAATGACTAAAATCAATCGGGTGGTTGTTTAAAAATTTATACAATGGCACCACTTCTGGATGAATTGAAAATGGAACTTAAAAAGTACAAACAAGATGCACAAGAAGGGAGAAGTTCTTTTGGCTTCGTTTTTCAATTCTTAGAAATGGAAATTTGGAACTATGAGAAACAAGAAACGACTGCAAAACAAGAAGACTGGGACAAAGAAGAAGCCATCTTTAATGAACAAGCAATTTTATGTGGGGAAGAAAAAGGAAAGGGGGGAAAGAGAATGGAGAATTTAAGACTTAAAGAAACAACCAAAGAAAAGAAAAATAATTCAAAAAATAAGTATAATACTGGAAAGCAACAGAAAAGGGGAATACAGAAGAGAGAAACAGAGGTAGAGAGACAAGGGGGTAAAAAGGGGAGAGGGAAGAAGAGAGGGAAGGAAAGGAAAAGAAGTTACAAAGGACCGGAGCAAGATATAGAGAAACAGGACCTATTTAGAGATAATGGGTGAAAATCTAACTGAAAAAGGGATTCTGTAAAGGTACATAAGATTGTATTGTTATATTAGTAATAGAAATAACTTTAGAAAATTGGAAACAACGTATGATTAAAATGAGGGATAAAATAGTGTAATTTAGTGAAATGTTTGTGAATAAAATAAGTGAAATAAAATAAATGAGAAAACTGAATTAGGAAGGAACGGGAACATTTTAATTAGTTAATGTTTTATAAAATATAAGTGAAGGGGGGGGAATAAACTATGGAAAGCTTATAATTGTTCCCATAGAAGTATGATATTTAATTGAAAAGTAATGTTAAAGATGTTAAGACTTTAATGAATATTAATATTAATGATAGAATTGAATTGGAATGGAATGTTGTTTTAATTATATACATTTATAATTTTTTCTTTTTTTAAGAATACAGTGTGAATTTTAAGAATGTACCAAGCAGAATCCGAATGGAAGTTATGTATTATATTGAATGTTACAACTTTAGGGAAAAGATATAAAGGCGTCATACTCCAATCAGTAACTACAGGAGAAATTTTGTTTAATGAGAAAAGATAATAGATAATTGAAACAGGACAGACAAAAAATATAAATACAATTTGAATTGAGATAATTAAAATAAAATTGAGAAAATTAAAAGAGGGGAGAAGCTATGCAGAAAATGTAAAATAGTAATAAGATATGGAATAGAATATAAAAATGAGCATGAACCTGAATTTATGTCTGTACGAAGAAATGTAACCCGGGATTACGCTACTTTCAAAAAAGATGTTTTATTTGTATTTTTTTTCTCTTTGTGAAAACTCAAATAAAATTTACAAAAAAAAAAAAGAGAGAGAAAAACTTTCTGGTCTCCAGAGCACTGCAGCAGAACAGGTGTGCTAGCCCGTCCTTACCTTCAGGGAATCAAAGCAGGCGATAACGCGTCCGTTTTCCACATGGCAGCTCCGGGAAGGGTGGGCAAACTTGCACTCTGTGTCAGAACGAGAGCAGGTTCCTCGCTGGAACTCCCGACAGACTTCCAGCGTCAGCCATTTTGTGTCACGAACCAAGGAAACGTTCAGCGCCATATTTTAAAAACTGCCCCCAAAGGGGGTTAAAAAGGATAGGAACAGCGGGAACACAATGTTCTTCGGGTGAATAGATTTCTTTTGAAGAAAGGGAAAAGTGTGTGTGTGTCTGTGTCTGTGAGGGGATTTCTTTATCAAAAGGAAATTCAAGTTAAAAATGTGAAGAAATAACTTTGTTGCTTTGGTAAAATTTCTATTCGTCAGCACTTAGGTTTCATCGAACTCAAATTATGCTTGTTGAAAAGAAAAGGTTAAACTTTTAGCCAATCATAAAATAGAAATCTCATCAGAATTAACTAAAAAAATCAAATTAGAGGCCAGCTCCTAAAAGTGCAATTGTCAAAGTTAAAATAGAAATGTTATATATTTATATATGTCTTTATATATATGTATATATATATATATATATATTTATGTATATATATATGTAATGTTTTGTGCCACTGCCAAAATTATTTCAAAACAACTTGCATTCCTCTATTACTGCGTCCTCACAGGTTTCTGTGCTCTCAAGTTGTGGGTTTCAACTATCCTCGCACAAAACCAGGTCAGTCCAAGAAAACACAGCTGCAACGGTACAGGCTGAGGGGAATATGTTTTTTTGTTTCTTGGCAGAAAAGAAACCTTTAGCAAGTTTCTATCCTTTCATCCTGTGCCTGAAACATTTACAAAAGCTGCAAGCATTAATACCACCGAAATGTTTCTCTTTTTTTTCTATTTCCTTCTGTTTGTTTTTGTCTTTCTTCTTCGTTTCTTTTTTGTACAGGATCGAGTTTGTTACATAGTTGGGAAGAAGAAGGGGGCACAAAGATGACCGAGTGGACCAACTGGGAAAAGGTGAGGGAAAAGACAAGCGATGGCGGTTGAACCGCTGGCCGAGATGCCCCACGCGCACCGAGCAGCAGCAACGGAGGGGGTCTTCTTTCCAAAGAAGGGGGCAGGTGGAAGGGCTCGAAGGCGGCTGCGGGTGGTGGGCGCTCTCGATCCCCTTCGCAGTGCAGGTGAGGGAAAGCCCAAGTCGGGGGTCGAAGCAGCTGTAGCGAGGCCAGTTTCAAGGAAGGCACTTTTCAGCGACCTGCAGGGAGGAGAAGAAACAGCAGCTCAGCCAGGAGGGAGCCTCACGGCGCCCAGATCCCACCCCAAGGAGCCCCTGGACAAGACTCTCCATCCCAGAGGCCGCAGGAAACAGAAGCCGGCCACTGTCTGATTATCGGTCTTTTTCTTCTTAATTGCAAAAAAAAAAAAAAAAAGAGGCGAGAGAGAAGGGCACTTTCTACCAGAAGCTGCACATGGTAAGGAGGAAGCAGCCAATGACAGGTCTCCTTGCAACCCAGCGTCTGGGCAGGCACCCAATAGAGGACCTTGTTCCATATTTATCTCATCCTGGCACACATTGGCTCGCGTTTCCCCTGATGGCTCATGCTCGCCGCCTCCCCTCCTCCCTCCGTGCCACTGTATGCAAAATGCCTCCGCCCAGCTGACCCGGTGGACGGTCAGCCCCTCTCACTCCCCACCTGGGGCCCAGGCACCCTCAAGGAGCCTCCAGACTGCCCGGTCCCCACCCAAATATGCTCCTGGTGCACGGAAGGGTTGCCATCACCCGGGCTTCTTCCGGGCCCTGCAGACAGGCTGGAAACAGCTCCTGCTTCCCCCCCTCCCCGTCGCCCACCACATCCAAGCCCATAATTTTTTTTTGTGGGGGGAGGGGGGGAGGAGAAGAACAGCCACAGATTAGAGCTGGACAAAAAAAACAAAAAACAAGCTGGGTGGGGAAGCCATGATGCCACCAAAGACAAAGGAAAAGGCAAACGGCCCTACAGGGGTGGGGGGAGCTGCTGCTGGCTTCTGCAACCTTGTCTGTTGACGGAGAGCCCGGCATAAAGCCTCCGATAGCCATTATGCCAGCAGTCCTCCGCTTCACACTTAACGCCTTCCGACTGAAGCAGAGGCGAAGTTTCAGGAGAAGCCACGAGGTCTTTCCTTCATCGAATGGCATTCTACCACCACCCCGCCACTCCCACCCCTTTTGTGGAAAAATCAGCACAAGGGCAGGCTGAAATTTCAGCCACGTCCAGGAGAGAAGGGACTTGTTTCTTTTCTTGTTAAAAAAAAAAAAAAAAAGCAAACTCTTGCAACAGCTGGATTTTTGCAGCAACCATCCCCCCTCCCGCTCTCTCTCTCTCTCTCTCTCTCTCTCTCTCTCTCTCTCTCTCTCTCTGTGTGTGTGTGTGTGTGTGCATTTCCCATACAACCATGAATTCAGGTTCTTCTCTCAACGCAACCAACACAACTTTGGAGAGCAGAAACAGCCTTCTCCCCACCCCAAGCGGAGGACTTCAGAAAAGCCTGGCTGAACCGTCCGCAGGACCAGTCTGTGTCCCCAGAGATGAATTGCACCATCCCGATTTGCAGAACTCCCAGGTTTGGTGATCCTGGCTGGAAGCGAGTCCCACCTGCACCCACTACTCTTTCTTGCCAAATGTCTCTCGGAGGCCGATCAAGATTAGCCCTTCCTCTGCCTTTTGTTCCCGGCATCCAGCGGCATTCAACAGCAGCACAACTGACCCGCTTCCGAATCATGACCGAGCACAACTTAACAGGAGGCCTGGTGGACGTGGCCAAAGGCGACCCTTGGTTTCGGGGTGTCTTCCCCCTCTTTGGGGAATGAGGAGACCGTCAGCACAGCCCACCCTCCTTGGAGTCTTTTGGAATCTGATGAATCGCTGGATGCTCCAGAGCAGAGGTCTCCAACCTTGGCCACTTTAAGGCTTGTGGACTTCAACTCCCAGAGTTCCTCAGCCGACGGACATGCCTATCCCAAGGGTCCTATTCCAGGCACTGGAGCCCGAGTTTCTCCCAGCCGCACGAGAGGGATGAAAGAGCCACGTGTGGCTCCAGAGTCACGGGTTGCTGATGCCTGGCCTAGGTCCAGGCCTGGTTTGGACAGACACTCAGGCATAGTCAACCCAGCTGATGGATGCTCTCTTGTGGGAGAGGGACATTAACATACAATTCATCACCTTGAAGGCTCTGGCACTACTTCTTCCCATACACTACATGAGGAGAGGGGTGGAGAGTTGGGAAAAAAGTGGGCGCAGCTCGGCAAACAAGCCACAACAGGCTGTCATATGGGTTGGAATGAGGAGGAATTCTTCTAGGAATCACACCCATTTAAAGCCAAGCAAAAGAACTGGGCAGCTTTTGGCTTCTCAGCTGAATCAGAGTCCGTGATTGAAGGTCCCCTCCCAGCCTTCTACAAAAACCACCAGACCCTTTTACAACTCCTAGGATTCCCAGATAGCGACTTCAGCTCAGGACGATGATGTGCTGTCACTTCCAAGTCATCGAGAGGACCTCAAAGCAAGGACTTTAGCTTTAGAGGGCTTGCTGCTAAAATATTTAAGAAACCCATTGAGCATTAATTGCTCAATGACATCAAGATCTCAACATGGGCTTTGCTGCATGCCACCCAATTCACATGACGGTAAAAGAGGGAGGAAGGGAGGCCCATTCAGACGTGCAAGCTTCTGTCGGTACAGCGGTTCTAGGTCTAGAACCCTCTACAGCAGAGGTCTCCAAACTTGGCAACTTTAAGACGTGTGGACTTCAACTCCCAGCTATGCTGTCTGGAGAATTCTGGGAGTTACCATGTTTGGGGACCCCTGCTCTACAGATAGACCTCGACTTACCACAGTTCATTGAGTGACTGTTACAACAGCCCTGGAAAAAATGACTTGACCGCTTTTCACACTTATGACCGTTGAGGCATCCCCATGGGACACGTTATCAAAATTCAGACACTTGGCAACTGGCTCGCGTTTATGATGGTTGCAGTGTCCTGGAGGGGGTCACGTGGTCCCCTTTTGCGACTTTTTGACAAGCAAAGTCGATGGGGAAACCAGACCCATTTAACAACCATGAGACCAACTTAACGACTGCAGTGATTCACTTGACAAAGGTGGCAAGAACGGTCAAAAAACGGAGCAGATTTCACTGAAACAGATGTCTCACTGAGCAAGAGAAATTTTGCCTTCGTGGTCTGGGCTACCTTGACACCAATTTTGAAGGATGTGCTTCCTTCTCCTTATTAAGATAAAAAAAAAACCTGTGAATTAGCGGGAGGGCCTGTCTGACTCTGTTTTCATAAATCAAATTTTTAGCTGGGTTCGAGACACATTTACTTGACTGTTGCCTTGGCAGCAGATTTTCCTTCTGTCCTTCAAGGCCATCGCCACATTCCCTGCCTGCTCCAACCGACCTCACAGGACTAATGGGGAGGGGAAGAGGCCTAAGTCACATCCCTTGGGCTCCACCATTCAGGAGGTCAACAAAGGAAGGGTGATTAAACAAAAGTTAACTGAACAATGAGGACATTGTGCCAAGTTAACCTTTCTTTCCCTTTCGGTCTCCAGATCAACCTCCTACGTTTTGAGGAATCTCCCCCGAGAGAGGATGAAGTGCAGGAATGATGCCGTGTTTTGGCGAATCTAAGCCGTTGGCATGCGAAGGAGCTACTCAATTAACACAAGGATTTCACAAGGTGGATAGACACTTCAAATACTTCTCTGTGAACATTCTGTACCCAAAGTTTAAACGGTAAAGCTTGGCAACCTGGGAAGAAGAAAAACGCCCTCGGTTGTTTAACCTGCCCCTGCCCCAAAGGTGCTGCCCGAAAGGAAGGTTCAAAGGCATGGACCGGGCGGCGGCAGGGTGGTCAACTCTAGAGCGACAGCCTCGCTCACGGTCACACAAGCCTCGTCCCGCTTGGATTACGGCGATGTGCTTTACATGGAGCTGCCCTTGAAGAGTACTCAGAAGTTACAACTGGTCCAGATTGCAGACATGTTGTTGTTTTAGGTTTGTTTTTTATACAGGCTGTCCTCAACTTACAACAGTTCATTTAGGGACCATGCGAAGTTATGACGACGGCATTGAAAAACCTATGACCATTTTTCACACTTATGACAGTTGCTGCGTCCCCACAGCCAGGTGATCAAAATCCAGCCACTTAGCAACCGGCTCATATTTACGACGATCGCAGTGTCCCGGGTTTACGTGATCCCCTTTTGTGACCCTTCTGACAAGCAAAGTCAATGGGGAAGCCAGATTCCCTTAACAGCCGTCTTCCTAACTTTTAACGACTGCAGTGATTCGCCTAACAAGCAAGTGGCAAGACAGGTCATAAAATGGGGCAAAAATTCACTTAACAAATGTCTCACTTAACAGCAGACGTTGGGGCTCAATTGTGGTCATAAGTCGAGGACTTCCCGTAGTAACTGGTCTTACTGTGATTGTGGCAGCCCTATAAATCTTTAAAATGAATTATTTAGATTATTTGAAATCTAAATAATTAGCTGGGTTGGGAGACCTCAACAAATGGGCACCTGGTAAAATGCAACTGCCAGGGACTGTTGACTTTTCATTGGTTTAAAAATTCTGGCCTCTCTGGTTTTAAGATGCCATTCAGCCTGCCGTGACTTCTGCCCGACAATCGTGCCCAGCCTGGCCAAGCGTTTTGCCCACAAGGGGGAAGCGCCGCCCTAAGGACCCTTTTCGTGGCTGGCACAGCCACGGGGACAAACGACACCTTTCATTTCAATACAGCAGATTCCTGGCCTGTGGTGAAGTGGCATGCAAGAACCCCGCTGGAAAATGAAAAGAAACCACACAATGCCCTGAACTCAGTTTGTTTAGAACCTGACCTGACTTTAATTCTGAGCCTCCGTCTGCCTTGAATGAAGCAAACCCACAATCTGCTGAAACAAAACAAAATGCTGGCATTCCCTGCGCCTGGCTGCTTAAGAAAAAGAGGATCAATTCCCATCCGTGCATATAACCGTAAATTATGGGCAAGAATTCCCAGCCTCAGATCTGTGACCACTGGGGTAACCACCAAAATATCCATAATAATTGAAAAATTAAAAGCTCAACCCAATCCTCAACAATTTTGCAACATTCCAAACTGGACCCCCCAAATGTCACGATTTTGCAACTTGGGGCCATTGGTAATAGATAATCAAATGTTTTTGACTGTAGGGGTCTCCCAGAGGCCATCCGGACAAGTCACATTTGCCC